ATTTTACATCTACCAGATCAAACGCCTGTCTTCCAAGGATGATGTTTCCAACAAGATATTTCTGGGAGAAGTTTGATCCCACGAGCACAGCACTCAGCTCTGATAAAAAAGAAAATTAGACATAGATAGTAACATAAAAAGAAGAAATATGTTAAAGGACCAGTGTGTAGGATTTAGTGGTATCTAGTGGTGAGGTTGCAGATTGCGTTGCATTACAGCTCAGCCATTCAAGCGTGTAGGAGAAATGGCAAAATGACATATCTGGCCACTCTGTTGACAGTTCAACAGGACTCCCTCCCCAACTCCCTCTGTAGATAAACAATTGATTCTAAAGTAATCAAAATACAACGATTCTTGTTTTCAGGTGATTTTACAGTGATCAAAACATACCGATGAATATTATATTTCTGCCAATGGATCATCCTAAATGTTACATACTGGACCTTAAGGACAGAAGGACAGGTGATAAATCTTTCATTCACAGTATGAGAGTTACTTTATGAACTCACCTTTGACGGATGTAGCTTTCTTCATGTTTTCTGAAGAGCAGGATTAACAGAAAATACTTGAATACGTGATGGGTTTCCTCTCCTTTATGTCTTTTTGTTGACGGTGTGAGTACAAATGTACTGTAGTGCCCATTGCTGTTGATTTTTGTCAGGGCAACTCCCTCCGTCATCGTCTGCTAACAAAACCAACAGCATTTTTTTAGAAGAGATAAAAGGAGTGACAAGATCTGATCTAATTTAAATTCCTGTGTCTCTAAGTTACACCTGTTCACTTGTTTCATCCTGCTTTTTTGCTTCCTTCAATTGTACTATTGGCAAGATGTCAGATGTGCTGCATCATAGTGAAGTTCTCAAATGTCACAAATTTATAGTAACGGATATTTAATTGTTAAAGACAATACTGGATAGGCCAAATGCCTGTACACTTTATATGCAGTGTTTGATTTTGGTTTTTCTTTCAGAGGGAAAGAAACTAAAAACAACAATGTACATTGTTCAGATTCTTAGTAGAGATCGACAGATAAAGAATAGGGATGGAACAGTTCAAGTAAAACATGTCAACAGTTGGCTAGCTCGGTTTTTGTATGTGCGTGTAACAACTGCCAGTAAAAAGAGAGTCCAAAGAGACAAACAGATTGTGGACTGATAAGATACTGGTTCAACCAGCACCAAGACACTATATTACTCAAACAACTCTTACATAATAATACCATTGGTAGCAATTGTTGAAGTTCATTAATTCAGAGTTTGCCTAGGGTGGGAAAAAAAAGTCTGTAGAACTTGGTCAGCAGCCGATCTCCATATCGCTCGTTGTTGTCCTGAGGTCACTGTCTTTCGTTGGGTTACTTACTTCACTAAACCAAACATTACTGTTCCTGGATAACTGGTTTCATGGAGCTGGTTATCTGAGGACTCGCACTGTTAACACTGGGGTTTCCAGCTACAAGCCGCTGTTAACTGCTACATTAAAAGCCACATGATCAGAACCATGAAGTAACGTTATTGACATGAGATAAAGCAGTCAGGTGATAGTACTGCAGGAAAAATCAACAATTTAATAGTAATATTCTACTAAGTTAAATGTAATCTAATGTAAGAATATAATCACATAACTAATAATAATAATATAATAATAAGATCCTTTAGAAAAAGCAACAATTCTTGTTTTCAGGTGATTTTACACTGATGGAAACATATGAATATTTTATTTCTGCCAATGGATCATCCTAAATGTTACATACTGGACTTTTAGGACAGAAAGACAGAGGATAAATCTTTCATTCACAGTATGAGGGTTACTTTATGAACTCACCTTTGACGGATGTAGCTTTCTTCATGTTTTCTGAAGAGCAGGATTAACTTACTTCTAATTCTCCTTCATGTCTTCTTGTTGAAGATGTGAGCACAAATGTACTGTAGTGCACACTGCTGTTGATTTTTGTCAGGGCAACTCCCTCCCTCATCATCTCCTAACAAAACCAACAGCATTTTTTTAGAAGAGATAAGAGGAGTGGCTAGATCTGATCTTAGTAAGATTCCTGTGTCTCTAACTTACACCTGTTCATTTGTTTCATCCTGCTTTTTTGCTTCCTTCAGTTGTACCGTGGCAAGATGTCAGGTGTGGTGCATCATAGTGAAGTTCTCAAATGTCACAAATTTATCGTAATGGATATTTAATTGATAAAGACAATACTGGATGGGGCAAATGCCTGTACACTTTATATGCAGTGTTTGATTTTGGTTTTTCTTTCAGAGAGAAAGAAACTAAAAACAACAATGTACATGTTCAGATTCTTAGTATGAGATCGACAGAGTACAGAATAGGATGAAATGGTTCAAGTAAAAATATGGAAGACATGTTGTGCTAGTCACTGATTGGGTGTGTATTTTTCGGTTTGTGTGTGTGTTGTTTGTGTAACAACTGCAGCAAAATAGAGATTTCCAAAGACGATAAACAGGATTCGTGGACTGGATCAAGTTATACTTGGTTTCACTGTATTATCTCATAACAATCCTCTGGCATTAATTAAGTATTATTGCCAGCAGTTGTGTGTTGGTATTGGAAGTCATTAATTTCAGAGTTGGCCCGGGGTTGAGAAAAAAAAGTCTGTAGAGCTTCAGCTGTTAGCCCGATTTCCTATCTAATCAAACAATCACCCCCCCCCGCGCGCGCCCCCCCCCCCCCCCCTAGTACAATGTAAGTCAATACATTTAAGTGTGAGTTAGGTATATCAAATGTAAGTTATATCTACGTAATTAGAAGTAAGTAGTACTATATGTTGATAGCAATTATTTGAATGTGGTGTAAGTTAATTTTTAAGTTTAATGGGGCTGGAATTCATGTAAGTTTTGGTCTATCGACACGCCCTCGTTTACTTTCACGTCATCATTACAGAATTGGAATCGTTGATGATTGGAGTGCTGCATTCATTTGTATTTGTTCAATACAAATGAATGAATCAATATTTGTTGTTCGGCATGCCTGGGGGCGGGGGGGGGTGTGGAAGTAATTTGTTCCGACTTTGTGGGAAATAATTGGTGGGACAACTGTATGGATGCTACAAAAACCGACGTGTTGTTGTATATGCTC